CCAGCATTCCACTAAAACTATGCATTTTATGACGTTACTATCGGAAATGCTGCTAATGATATATGAGAACCTTGGGCCAAAGTCTAGTTCTAGTGGAATTGTAGGAACCACAGACGTCTGATTGAAAATTGGAATGATGCAAATTGATTCTGTCAGTGTCCCTGATACACAAATTTATTTCTAGAAAATCTGATTACAATCCCTTAAAGACATGTCTCTTGCTTGAAATATTTCATTAGCAATAACAATTTCAGAATTTGGAAAAGTTTACTGGAATTACAGACAGGAAATGGAACAAATAAAGACTGTGTTACTGTTTTCATGAAGAATGTCCAAATATTGCCTTAACAGTAGTATCTTCTACCTACCATGTTAACAGATAGGGAGGGAGGGGGTAGGTGGCATTTTGTACCCTCATACCCTTCAATTGATCAACCTAAGGAAAATACGTGGGGAGAAAGGGAAGAGGGAGAAAAAGAAAATACAACAATTATATTTAGATATCAAATCTATTGATGTTTTTATTTCAAAATAAATAATATATTTTATAAAACAAGATCTATATAACTATAGAGATAATAATTCTTATACTTTTTATAATACTAATTAACTTAATATGGTGTATTTCACCTAGCTTTCAATAAATCTGTTTTAGTACCACTATATATCTATTATACACCACAGGTCTTGTTTTATAAAACTTAACTTAAGATGATTTTAGTATTCCAGTCATCTGATTGGTTAATCACTAAAATTGATTTTATATTTAACATTGTTATCCAATCAGATAACTGTATTTCTGGATTTTATTTAAGTTAAGTTTTAGAGAATGAGGCACTAGGTAAATAGCTGAATCTGAGCTCTCCTAACACATACAGAAATATATTCATTATTTACTGAATACATGCAACTATCATATCATCTTCACAATGTCAAGCTATTACAAACTTAATCTTCACAATGTCAAGCTATTACAAACTTTATCTTCACAATGTCAAGCTATTACAAACTTCATCTTCACAATGTCAAGCTATTACAAACTTCATCTTCACAATGTCAAGCTATTACAAACTTCATCTTCACAATGTCAAGCTATTACAAACTTCAACTTCACAATGTCAAGCTATAACAAACTTCATCTTCACAATGTCAAGATATTACAAACTTCATCTTCACAATGTCAAGCTATTACAAACTTCATCTACACAATGTCAAGCTATTACCAACTTCATCTTCTCACTATCAAGCTATTACAAACTTCATCTTCACAATGTCAAGCTATTACAAACTTCATCTTCACAATGTCAAGCTATTACAAACTTCATTTTCACAATGTCAAGCTATTACAAACTTCATTTTCACAATGTCAAGCTATTACAAACTTCATCTTCACAATGTCAATCTATTACAAACTTCATCTTCACAATGTCAAGCTATTACAAACTTCATCTTCACAATGTCAAGCTATTACAAACTTCATCTACACAATGTCAAGCTATTACCAACTTCATCTTCTCAATATCAAGCTATTACAAACTTCATCTTCACAATGTCAAGCTATTACAAACTTCATCTTCACAATGTCAAGCTATTACAAACTTCATCTTCACAATGTCAAGCTATTACAAACTTCATCTTCACAATGTCAAGCTATTACAAACTTCATCTTCACAATGTCAAGCTATTACAAACTTCATCTTCACAATGTCAAGCTATTACAAACTTCATCTACACAATGTCAAGCTATTACCAACTTCATCT